CCGGAGGTACTTCTGGTGCTCTCTCTTGAGAACCGCCCGCATGTCCACGAGGTATCGTTCCCACATCTCCTTCCGGTTGCTCAGGGCGGCGGCGAGCCCCGACACGCGATTCTCGGCCTTCCGTGTCTGATTCAGACTGGCCTGCAACGCCTGTAGGAACGTGGGCTCTGCCTCCTCCTCTGCGGTGCCACTCCTCCACGACTGCTGGCTGCCCTGGTCGTAGGACGGGAAACGAGGCTCCCTGGGCGATCGCGCCTGCCGCGAGCCACGCCAGTATCCCCAATTGCCGTTTCCACCTTGAGACTTCCATCCTTTGGCGTTCCAGTCCTTGCCCATGCTCTCGCTTCCGTGATGTCGGTGGAGCAGAAGTAAGTCGCAGAGGGCAGGCTTGCGATTGAGAGCTCGGGCGCTTTGGACTCGTCGACGGGCTCGGCTCCGTTTTTTGCGATGTGCTCGGTGCCACGTGGGCGATCGGCAATATTTGCCGATGACGTCTGCTAGGCGCGCCGGAACAAGGCGCTTGGGGCAACAGCAATCCCTTCCCGCTTCGGGTGTTCTGAGCCCTGCTGTATATACATACATATACCCGACAAGGTTTTTTGGAATCGCCTTTCGAGATTCGGGCTTCGGCCCCAGACCCTAACCCCTAAACCCTAAACACTACACCCTATAGGGTTTAGGGTTTAGGGTTTAGGGTTAGGAGCTTAGAGAACTACCAATACTACTTTGAAGGTTCCTTATTATAGCCCCCCCATTTGGGGGTTTCCGAAAATAGGGGACCCTGATATAAGCACCCTAAATAGTAGGATCCTTATTATAAGGACCCCCAGATAAGGTACCCTAATTTTCGGAAACCCCCAAATGGGGGGCTATAATAAGGAACCTTCAAAATAGTATTGGTAATTGTCTAAGCTCCTAACCCTAAACCCTAAACCCTAAACCCTAAACCCTAAACCCCCGTTTGGGTTTTGGGTTTACGGGGGTTTCTCCTGCAGGCCCCCCCCCCCCTGCTTGAGCCTAAGCATACTTGGGGTTTAGGGCTTTTAGGGTTTAGGGTTTAGGGTTTAGGGCTTAGGGTTAGGGTTTACGGTTTAGGGTTTAGGGCTTTTAAGGTTTAGGGTTTAGGGGTTAGGGCTTAGGGTTTAGGGTCTAGGGCTTTTAAGGTTTAAGGTGTAGGGTTTAGGGTTTTAATGAGCACCATCTGGAGCCTCCTGGCCCTCGTTGCCCCAAGGGCCGAAACCCTAAACCCCATCATTGCAGAACCCTTCCCTAAAGGTCCATGTGCCCCAATAGTCTATACTTTGGCCTTAGAGAAGTCCCTGTAAAGGTACTTTGGGGCCCAGGTATATACTATATTTGGGTACATGGACCCTTAGGGCTTGGGAGAACCCTGTGGAACCCTAGAAACACGGTAAGAAGCCTTTTCTCAAGCCGGCAGTTGCCGGAAAGCCTTAGGTAAGCCCAGGAGCCATCGGGCCAAGCGCAGTCCCAAGGCTCCGCGATGAGCTTCACCTGGGTTCAGGCGTTCAAGGTTACAGTGCGTTTTTTCGTGGGGGTTAGGGTTTAGGGTTTACATAAGGGTTAAGAGTTTACCCCAACACCTCCGCTTATGGTGATTTAGAAGTGGTCGAGGGCTTTAGGTTTTTATGATTTCTGAACTGGGGATTTAGCATTTTATGGTCCAGGGCTCTGCAATTTGGGGCTGGTTGGGGTTCTGAATCAAGGCTTACAGGCGCTGAGGTTAGGCTGTATAGCGTTCAAGACCTACCTGGGCACTCAAAACCCTACTCCTGTAAGGGTTATACTAGCTATACCCTATAACTAAGGGGTCATAAGCAAACCCTAAACCGTAACGTTGCAAGGCTTGGGGCCCCTAAACCCTAAACCCTAAACCCTAAACCCTAAACCCTAAACCTTGGGGCTACATGTAAGGTCTGAGTCTAGGGCTTCAGAACTCAGGGAAGCGGGATTGGAGATCGGAGCCGAAGGCTGTGGAGGTTGGGGGCTTAGAAAGTTGGCAAAGAAGTGAGGTTTAGGGTTTAGGGTTTAGGGTTTAGGGTTTAGGGTTTATAGGGTTTAGGTGACTGCTGGGATCTGATTTTGGGTTTAGGGTTTAGGGTGCAATTTTGGTACCTGATAGGGCGGCCGTGGTGGGTTTTGGACTTTGGAGTTTATAGTGCCATGGCATGCGGGGTCAGAAAGGTCTGGTATGTAAGGCTATGCAGCTTAGGGTTTGGGTTGAGGGACTTAGGACTCAAAGAAACTCTAGGGTCAGTTTCTTGGGGG